GTGATTATGACTTTTAACACTTTTTACTCTGTGAAGATAAATGTTACATTTTTTCTTTGAGGGGTAGCTTTTTTCCTTTTAATGTATGAATAAGTCTAAAGCAGTTGTATCACTCCATCTACGTAAATGCCCTGACACCGATGTTCTAGTCAGACTGAGTTGTTATGTCTACTACACATAAAATATCAAAATAGCTATTACTTAGAGAAAAATTTAATATGGCAAAATGACTGAGTGAGGAGGTTGCGAGAAATGTTTCAAATTCGACTTCCCAAAGAATTAGAGAATAAGGTTTTTAAAGGGAGCTCGGTGGGCATAGGGACATAGGCTTCTGATTGGTTGATGTTATGGGACGGAGACTTTCTCCCCTCAAGACAATTTATAATAGACAGAGTTAGGGGGACCGGGTAAGCCAAATTCTTATGCTCTGGTTTGATGTGGGATTGTGGTATAGACCCAGCAGACGTAGGCAACAGAGCCCGACAGCTGTTTCTGCACTCCAGTCTGGGCATCAGAGTGAAACTCCAACTAAAAAAAAAAAAAAAATATATATATATATATATATATATATATATATATATATTTTTCATGTCCACATAAATTCGTATTTTTAGAACAAAACAACAGTTATGCTGGCAAAGATGTGGGGTTATCAGGGACCCTTAAGCTTTCAATATACTGAAAAGAAACATTTTCAAAGTGTCTACAAATTATACATTTGGTTTCCCACAAAAGTGGCAAATTTTACCTTAACAGTTAGGACTTTTTCACCAAATCATAGACATAGATATGGAAATCATCATCAAACCTGATGAATTACATAGAGGGTTTAGCTTCCACTTGGTGAATGACCATGCCAATCCTTTTGGAGTTATCTTCTTTGGTATATTCCACATGCTTACCTATCAGGCCATCTACAACTCCTCCTGGCTCTCTCTCTGCTGGAGAACTCACTGGACTCTGGCATGATGTGGAGGTCACCTTCTTTATAATCATCTAGAAGCTGGTACATGTACAAGACAGGATCTTTCTCGTAGGTGATATAAAACCAGGCTTTCATGATAGGTGCTTGGGCTAAGACCATCCCCCTCCATTCATCCTTAGAACCATGCTCATGCTCAAACATGTGTTCCACTGCTTTGCCAATTATGGAATTTGCAAGGTTGGCACCACTAATTTGAGATGATGCCACCCTGTCGGAAAGAATTTTAAGAGACAAGACCCTCTCATCTCTGTGAAGCTCCAGTCCATAGACACAGTCAATTCCATCATATTTCACCAGATAAAGAGAGGGGTTTATAGGCACCTGATCCAGAATGGTTCCTTTCCACTGGTGATGGACTCATCTCCTTCCTTCCATCCGTGAGAAATTCTGCAGCCCACGATGTTCCTACAGGGTTGGGAGGAAGGTCTGCCCCTCTGCTTCTTTTGGGAGGCTTTTTTCTTTGTCATGTTTGCAGAGCCAGTGCCCCGTCCCGCAGCTGCCCTGGTTTGTTGCCCTTCTGCCTCCTGTGCATTGGGGGTCTTCATGCCTGGTGTTCAAATCGGACACTTCGCCTCTGCCTCCGCTATGAGCCTCTGTGGAAGGATAGTTTGGCAACCAGCCGAGCGAGTGCTTGCAAGAGCTGGCAAGGTAGGATCTGTAGGCGAGAAGTGTGTCTAGGAGTGCGGCGAGGCAGGCAAATAGGATGGCAGCAGTGTCCCCAGTGCTTTGCTCACTGGCCTTCCGCCTCCCTGTCTGTGGTGCTGGCTACCCTTCTGCTTCATAGGGCTTTCATCATCCGCTGCTACCATTGCCGCAGTCTCCTCCCTCTCTTTTGCAGGACTCGAGCCTAGTTTCCAGTTTTCATTAAGGCCGCTCCTTCTTTCTCAGCACAGTGCAGGTTTGTCTTTCTTTTCCCGGAGGTCCTTTTGGGCTCCTTTATCCCTTTCATGGTAAAATATTTTACCATCTCTAATATACCATATAAATTACATGCATACACTACTGTTACTAATGTTTTATGTGTATATGCAAAAAGCAGACATTTTCAAAATGCTTGTAAATATAAAAAAGATATAATAACATATATATATATATATATATATATATATATATATATATATATATATATATATATATATATTGAGTTGAAGTCTTACTCTCTCACCCAGGCTGGAGTGTAGTGACATGCTTATGGCCACCCCAGCATCCATCTGCTGGGCTCAGGCGATCCCTTCTGCCTCAGCCTTCCAAGTAGCGGAACCACAGGCATGCACCATCATGCCCAGCTCATTTCTTTTCTTTTTTTTTTTTTTAGTTGGAGTCTCACTCCATCACCCAGACTGGAGTGCAGTGGCACGCTCATAGCCACCCCAGTATCGATCTGCTGGGCTCTAGTGATCCTTCCATCTCAGTCTTCCAAGTAGCTGGAATTACAGGTGTGCGCTACCCTGCTCAGCTAATTTACATTTATTGTAGAGATGAGGTCTTGCCAAATTGCCCGAGCTGGTCTTTAACCTGTAGGCTCAGGCAACCCGCTCGCCTCGGCCTCCCAAAGTGCTGGGATTACAGGCTGAGCCACCGCGCCTGGCCACAAATATTTTAGAGGTATTTTAAAATTTTATTCCCAGACTGGACCTGGGTACTTCTGGAAAGAAGTCTGGAGCAGATGGCAATAAAACTGAGACTTACAGG